ACTCAATCTTCAGCTGTCCATCGACTTATCAGGTTCTGTAGTGATGAGGGCAGGAATTTTAGTACCTTGTCTCCTCAGTGTGTTCTTTAGGAGAGTTGTCTTCTTGGGCTAGCCTTTCCAGCCTTCATAGGTATGTGTCCACTCATTCTTGTGCTATGGTCATTGAGGGCATCGTGGTAGTCAGGGTCCAAGTGGCAATGATGTCCCTGGTAGCAATTGTGAGTCAATAATCATCTGTTCCCCAGGTGTCCACTTCTTACCTTTAGAGTAATAGATCTTTCATGCAAGCTGCAAATTTTAAAGTAGTGGGTACTGTATTTTTGACTTCATGGTGGGCGTCCACCATGGTTGGAGGGACTCTCCTTTCCAATATTTAACTAAGACCTGGTCGTGAGGTTTGAACCCATGGACTGGAGACCGTATCATAAGGGGATGTCCTAGAAACACAGTATGATGAAGGTCCTTTAATGCTTGATGCAGTTATTTCATTTCATGATGCAGGTCCAAGGTTCCAACTCCTTCTAGCCCTTTGAGCACTGACATGAGTGGAGGATATGTCCCAAATATTATCTCTAAGGGAGTAAGCCTATCCTGCTATGAGTGCACCATGATTTTAGGAGTGCAATAGGAAGCATTATGATACAATTAACTTCTGTTTCTTGGCAGCACTTTGCCAAATTATTCTTTTGGGTCCCATTTTGTTTCTCCACCTGGCCCCAAATCTGAGGTCAACAGGCTGTATGTACATCATCTTGACTACTTAAGCACAGTCATGCTCAGGTAGCTCGAAGGAGGAGAGCAAAAAAGAGGCAGGGTTAATGCTTGAATGGTTCTAATGGTGAGTCTAAGTTCCTCTACCAAGGCCCCTGATATTAGGCTAATTTGATTCACAAGCACAATCACCATCAGGCCCCCTTAGCAAAGTCTCTACTGTGTGTGGTACAAATGCATTCAAATTCTGTCCCAGAATCAATTTGTCTTCTTCCTTTACCAAAGCGCTGTGACAGCAGAGGAGCATAGACAGGAGGGCTGTCCTGCTGGGACTGGGTCCAGATTTTTGGACAAGTATACCACAGGTCTCTTTCAAGATTCCAAAATTTGTGTTAGGAAACCCTGGATAAGGCCTTGCTTCTCATGAATGAATAAGTGGAAAGGTTTTATGATATCAGGTAGTGTTAGGGCAGGAATGCTTATCAGCTTTTCTTTCAAATTCTCACTGCCTGCCATCCAGAATTCCAGTCCAATGAGGGGACAGTTCCTCTTCTTAAAGAACAGTTCTTCTCCTATAAAGGCTTGGTGATAGCTACACAATTAGGGACCAAAAACACACAGTATTCTTTAGTTCTCATTTCCTTTTGGGCAGTAGAATCTCTCAAGCACTAAATGGCCTGAGTCTATAAATTCAAAACAGCCTGTGTTCCATTATGTAGCACAAACACCAGAAATTGAACAGTTTACATGTAAATCTGAGCCTCTGAGCCTTTTTCTGCAAAACCCAATAACCTTTTTGCTGGAGCAATCCCAACAACTGTTTTGTCCCTTCTTGGCATAGTTCACAAATTTTAGTGGTGAAAATAAAGTCACCTACACATTGTCATAGGGAGATTTCAAGGTTTTCTTGTCTGGGGGCCAGGGATTTAGCTCAGCAACATAAGTGCCTGCCTTGCAAACACGCGGTTGTGAGTTTGATTCCCAGTACTGATAAAAAAAAAAAAAAAAAAAAAAAAAAAAAAAAAAAAACCCTCAGTCTCAATTCTGAAGGACTTATATTCAGAACATATAAAGAACTAAAAAACATTAAGCCCCCAAATTCAAAGACCCTGTCCAAAACTTGGCATCTGGCATGAACAGACAGTTCTCAGATGAAGATATATAAATGGCAAATAAATATTTGAAGAAATGTTCACTATCACTGGTCATTTGAGAAATGCAAATTAAAATTAAAACAGCATTGAAATTTCATCTCACCCTGGAAAGAATAGCTGCCATCAAGAAATCAACTGATAGCAAATTTTGGCGAGGATGCAGGGAAGAAGGAACACTGCTCCACTGTTGGTGGGAGCTTAGACTGGTGCAACCACCATGGAAATCAGAATGGAGAATTCTCAGAAGACTAGGATTGGAAGTTCCATTCAATCCAGCTATTCCTCTCCTAAGTATTTTCCTAGAAAAACTTAAAAGGCATATTACGGTGGTATATGTGCACCCATGTTCATAGAAGCACAATTAATAGCCAAATCTTGGAAACAATCAAGATGTCCATCAACCACAGAGTAGATGAAAAAAATGTGGTATTTTTATACTATGGAATATTACTCATCTGTAAAAAGCATGCTTTTGAGGCCTTCATAGGTAAATGGAGACAACTTGAGATTATTCTCATTAGTGAAATAAATAAGAATCACATTTATAAATATCACATCATGTCTCTAGTGTAAAAACTAATAAGAAATGTAGGAGGAATAAAACCCAAAATATGTAATTGCTATTGTAAAAAAGAGAGGAAAAGAAAGTGCTCTAAAGGATATAACCGCATGTATGTTTAAGTGTGTAGGCTTGGTAACTATATTAATAAGTTTTTGTTGGATCATTGAACAGAAGTGTTTACAGTCTCAATGTATGAATGTCCACTTTGTATGCTTTACTTTTGTAACTCAAACAACTGTTGCTAAGAAGACAATATATAGTTTATCAACTAGTGATTTCTTACTGTATTTTTTGAAATTATGTATTTTTCTACCAATTTTCTGGGTTTTTTTTCTCTTTAAGTAACATTTAAAAAATATCTTGTTTGAAAGAGATAAATTCCCTGGACAAGGGTCCCCAAATATTGTCAGTGAATACTTGAATCTCTGGGGGAGCTTTGTCCAGGTTAACTGACATTTTTGTATCCCCAGGATTCCTCCCACTCAAAAGCAAATATTTCTTGAGAACCTGCTGACAAAGGAATACCAAAAAAGGCAAATTTCAAATCTAATATAGTATATCAAAGTTGACTAAGAAGGAGCAGGTTAAGCAAGGCATAGAGGTTTGGAAATGTAAGTTAAAAAGTGGTAACTAAATTATTCAGAGTCCTAAGATCCTGGACCAGTTTGTATTCATTGGTTCTGGGTTTCTGGACCAACAGGAAAGGTAGATTTCAAGTAGACTGACATTCTTTTAATATTTCCACCTCAAGCAATCTGTGTATGTATGTGGGATTTAATGCCCTTCTGTGCCTCCATTGTCATAGGATATTGTCATAAGATCACTGGTTTAGCATGTTACACCAATCCTACCACTCTGGGAAGTACATGTTCTGCCAAACCCAGTGGGTTGTCTTCTGCCCAAATCAGAGGAAACTGCTGAGTCCAAGAGGGGAGTGTAGTGCTACCCAATGAGGGTCCCCTTTCATCTAGCTCCATGAAGCAACATTCCTCCTGTAAAGAAAAAGTTACAACTAAAACAAGAACTTCAGCAGAGGGAAAGATCATTTCTGAGGGAGTAAATTTTAATTTGTAGTTTGCAAAGCAAGTGTGGGCCCAGAAAGGGAAAAGGAGAGTCAGGCATACACACAAAAGAGTGACTAAGCACTTTCCTGAGCTGTCAAGGCTTGCAAAAGAATTAAAAAAGAGGTTTGGCCAGTTGCCCTCTGCACATTTATTTTCTTCCTTAGAAGTGCGGTTCCTGCCTGAGTAACTGCAGATAAGTCAACTCTCATATCCACAGACTTTCCCTCAAGAGTCCCATTTAACATGAGTTCCCTGAGGCCAAGAGACAGGGACTCTTGATCCCATCAGTCTGAAACCTTCCCTGCATCCATCACAAGCTATTCCTTTTTTTCTTTCTTTAGTAATTTTGGGCACTCCTGCTTACCATGTCCCATCTCCTTGCAGCAGACACACTAGTGTGAGCCCAGTGAGACACATCTCCCTCCTTGTTGGAGTCGCTACCCAACCCCTTTCTTTTTGCCCCTGCCTGTGCTTCCTTCTTAGGAGTTGCTAACTTCACCTTCATCTGTTCTTCCTGGGCTTTTACTTTGTGTCCTCTGTAGTGTTATAAACATTCTGAGCTACCTCTACTAAATGAGCTGTAGTCCTTTCAGTAAATCTGTCCAACATCTTCAGTTTAACAGAGAATGTCAGGCACTGATTGAGTAACAAAGAACATTTACCATGCAAGCATTTCCAGATTATAGGGGAGTCATATGGTGTGAATGTGTGATAAGCTTTCCACAGGAGCTCCAGGAAAACAGAAAGGCTCTAACTGGTGACCTGGTGTAACTCTGCCACTCTTTACAAATGTGTGGGTTGGCAGGCTGCAGTGAAGCTCTTTCAACAGAGCCACATGGTGATCATTCAAACTCTTAATCCCATCGTCTGTGATGGGATTTCAATTTCGTGCTTCCTGGGGCAGCCCACATCTCAGGCTTTCTGTCACTTCCCTGGTGTCCCCAGCCCTTAGGCTTTTATACAATCTTTGCCTCCTTCCATATGCTCTGTCTCCTCTAAGGTAAGTAGAATATAGAGCAATTGCTGGCAGTCAATCCAATTGGGGCAGTGAGTCTTAAATACTGATTCCATCAAATTAATCAGAGTGTGTGGCTGCTCAGAGAATGGGGGATTTTGAGTTTTCCAGTTATACAGGTTGCTGGAGCTCAAAGCAGTATATAAAAAAATGATCTGAACTGCCCCTCCAGGTCCTGCCACCACCATTTCCCAGAGAGACAAAACAGAAACAGGGAAGGAGGATGACACTTCCTCCTCCACAGTGGATGGTGCACTTTCATCCACTATGGGATGGTCACATTCCCTCTCATGGCCACATCCCCTCTCATATCAGGACCTGCCCAGAACTCAGTGTCCTAGGGAATCATGTTCCATGCACACTGGTGTGGTCCCTGAAGAGTTCAATAGCAGGTACCCAAAAAGTGGAGGTGGAGTAGTCACAAAATGAGTTAAGGGTTCCTCCTGAGAGGATGGAGGTACTATAGGGGGCTTTGCATTAGATGACCTCTCCTGAATTACCAATGCCTGTTCTAGAAGACTCCAAATATAGTGTAAGCCAAGGAGAAGTCACTTTTATCTAGGAATTGATATATGGAAACTGATCTATATGCCCTGGGTTTCCAGTAATTAAATTTCATACCCTGTAGGCTCTCTGAAGGTCAAGCATTTCCTCTGCCCATCTATCCACAAGGGTGGGCCATTTAGATTCACAAAATGTCCAGAGTTTTCTTTTCCTCACCTTAACCTTGTAATCTCTGCTACATTTGAATTTATCGAAATCACTGAGCATGCAACCCATCCCAGTTGACTTGCTGCCAGTGGATTTCATAGTGATCACCATTAACAAACCTGTGAATCCTGCAGTCTGTCTCAGCCAGTTCCCTCACCATCTGTCTTATTTAATTTTTATTGGTCACTGAGACAAATACCTGATGCACCAAGTTGTGAAGGAAAGGTTTATTTTCTACAGATTTTGGAAGTTTCAGTCCATACTCAGTTGGCTCCAAGGCAGGGTAGCAAGAAAGGTCCACAGTTCTTGGTGGCTGCAAATGGCAAGGTAGAAAGGGGCAAGAGAAAAAGACACATCACATCCTGGCTCCACCCCTAGGTGGGTGTACCACTGACACTATCAATCCAAGCACTTACAATGAATCAATCACAGATGCATAATGTAAATGCATGAGCCCTAGGGGCAACCAACATAAACCATGACAGTCTACCTCTAGCCCACAGGACTCATGTACATCCTTGATATAAAACACATTTAGTCCATCTCCAAGAGTTGCCAAAGTCCTAACAGTTTCATCATTACTGACAAGTCCAAGTCCCAAGTCTCCTCCAAGATCAATGGCAAACTCTTAACTGTAACCTCTTGTACAAATGAAACAAGGTTAAACATTTCTGAAATGCAAAGGCACAAGATAAACATTACCATTCCAAAAGTTACAAACAGAGGAATATAAAGCACTGGAAACAAAACAAGTCCAACCTCCAGCAGGGAAAACATTAAGTCCCAGAATTCCATGCTCAGCATCTGAAGCAATCTGGTTGCAAGCTCCAAAAGGCTTGTGTGATTCCACCCTCATGGCACTTCCAGGGATTTCAGCTTCTGCAGCTTTTCTCTTAAATCCTCTCTGCTCACTTTTTGCAGCTTTCCTTGGATCAACCACGTTCCTGGATTTTCCAAACTTCTGGGGTCTCCATCGCACCTTTGGCTTCACCCTTACATCTTTACAAATTACCCTCTCAGGGGCACATTGCTTGTCCTCCCAGGCCCTTTGCAATTGAGGTGGAAGTCATCTTACCTTCAGAATTTGTGCATTTCCCTTGCACTGAAAATCAGCACCCTGTGGATGCTGCCAAGGGTTGCTGCCATCTGGATCAGTAGCCACACTTTTTTCTCTCTTGGCTGTAGGGATCAATTGCCTACAGGCTGGTTAACCTGCTTGTGAAAAAAAGCTTTTCTGTTTTGCTCCCATTCTGGAACCTCATGAGGCTTCCTTCATCATTCTGAGCAAATTCTTTCACTTTTGCAGTTTTGAGGCTGCAAAGGTCAGAGACCTGCTGCTTCCTGGGATGCTCTGGGGCCATCTTTCTTATCTCTCTGTTTCTTCTCAGCAATCTAAGTCTTAGTTTGAACTTTATAATCCATAGCTTCACTGGAGTTTCCTTCTGGCCAAACTCACAGTATTATAAATTATCCTGCTGGGCTCTTTGCTCTTGATTTGCAACATAAATCTGGCTAAAAGCCCCCAACAATAGCTATGCCAAAGCCTCAACATTTGACTGCTTGAAATTTCCTTTTCCAGCTTAATCAGTCCATTGCCCTTAGTCTTAGTCTCAAGCAAAGTTTCAGTGCATGAGCAAAATGCAGATAAACTGTCAAGCCGTAACACACATCATTGGGAGTCCAACAACCAATGCAGTCCTTCTCAGCAGAAACCTCCCAAGCCTGGTTTTTACCATCAGGCTTTCTATCAGCCTTCTGGTCTCCTGAGCTCTGACAAGAATCTCCTCTACAGAACAGCCTAAGCTGCTCCAGCTCTACATTCAAGTGACATGTCCAAAACTTTCCAAACTCTGCCCACAAGCCATTTCTAAAGCCTCCCAAAAAAGCATGGTCAGGTATAGTCAGAGCAAACAACCCCACTCCTTTGTACCAAATTCTGTCTTAATTAATTTTTACTGGTTGCTGAGACGAAATACCTGATTCACCAAGTTGGGATGCACAGTTTTAATTCTTACAGATTTTGGAAGTTTCAGTCCATACTCAGTTGGCTCCAAGGCAGGTGGCATGGTGGTGCCGCAGTTCATGGTGTCTGCAAACATCAAGGTAGAAACCTGCAAGACAGCAAGACACACCTTCTTCCTGCCATTACCTCACATGCTGGCTCCACCTCTGGGTATGTGTAGCACTGACACCATCAATCCTAGCACTATACAATGAACCAGTAACAGATGTATAATATAAATGCCTGGGGGCCACTGACATAAACCACGACACATCCCTTCTTTACTTAGCCATTCCAGCTAGAAACAAAAGCAAAAATTCAAAAAGCTTGAAATGATGACAACAATGACCTTTTCTTGTGGTGAGCTAGAAATTCATCTGACCAACACAGAAAGGACAAACCATCCTAGGAGAGACACACTTCCCTCACTGACTTCAAAATGTGCAATAAACTCAGGGAAAACCCACTACATCTGGTGTGTAGGACTCTTCCCAGGTTCACTAAATAACCAACTGCTAGCACAGAATAAAAAAAAGTCTGGAGTAAGCCATCTGCGAATTGCCAAAATAGGAAATCAAAACCAAATGAGAAGTGCTTACCTGGGTCCAGGTGTAGATACTAAATGTCTCTGTCGTGGGGCTAGGTATCTGTTCCCTCAGCCACTCTGAGTTTGGCTGAAATAAGCCAGGGCACCCTGCCACCTGGTACTGGCTGCCAGGCAAGAAGGCATAGAGACCCCTGCAAAGAGGGATTCCTCATGGGTAACTCTTGCTTGGGGCTCCCAAATATTGCAGCATCCTCAAGAAATTTACCCATAGCACAATGAGAGTTCAGAAACAAGTAATGCTTATTTCAAAACTTTTCAGTCAATTTTGGCCACTGTAATTTCTGGCTGGTTGGTCTCAATACCTTTGTTCCCTTCCATTATATAGCCCTGTATGAATTCACAGGGTCAGGGTTTCCACCCATACCACCTTCTTGCAGCACTATCATTGCTTTGGAATGTTACAAGATCTTTTTACACACCTGGTTAATTGACACATAGAATGTGGGCATCAGGTAATTTGGTTGTTTTGCAATAAACCCATTGGTTTTCCCTTTTTATAGATTGTAAGGGCCAATTAAGGGAGAGATCTGACCAAAGTTCAGTCACTGTTGCAGTCTAACTGCTAGCTAAACATCTAAGCTATAAACTATAAGCCACAAAATAAGTGAAATTTTCGAAAGTAGGATTTGAAGGTTTCAATTTTTAAAAAGGCAGAGAAAAGAAAAAAGTAGTGAATGTGCTCAGAGAATGAAATGGAGAAGTATTCTGTCATATCTTGGTTTGCAAACTTAATTTGTTGCACATCTTGTGGGGAAAATAGCGGAATTTTTTTTTTTTTTTTTTTTTTTTTTGTCATCAGATGCAGAGTTTGCAAACAGAGGCATCCCGGAACTGAGGTACCGCTGTATTTTTTCATGTTTTTCCTTGTTATTTTGTATTAATTACCACCTTATATAAAAACGTGACTAAGTCAAGTCAAGTGAATTTTTATTAATTTTAAGCATTTACAAGGTCTCATATGGCTTACCACCAATTCATAACCTGTCATTACAACTAAAATTGTAAAATAATTGAAAACTCACTTTTTCCATTATAAATCTTTCAATATATATTTGAGGTGTTATTATAAAAATTCTCACTGTATAGTTTAACTTTTTTATTCAGTTGTAAAATATGGAATACATCAATAAAAAATTTAAATGTTGAAGAATGTGGAAGTATATCTCTTATTTAATCATTATACTCTCTGTATGCATGAAATTATTACACTTTTCCTCATAAATTTTTCAATTAAATTTCCAATTCCACACAACAAATGTAAACATTTTGTACTTCAAGTATATAATAATAAAAATTAAGTTAAAGGAAAAAAAAAATTAAATAAATGAAAAAGAGACAAATATATTATTTTCTGCACAGAGAATTTATTCTCAAACCTGCTCTATTTTGCATAATATTTTGGCATTGTCTATACAAATGTACCAAGGACAAGCTACTAGCTTAGCAGTAACATGACAAAATTATAGAAGAATTGGTATTTGTTTCCTGCAAATTTATATTACTTTCTGAATCACTTTTTCATTCTTTTTTAACAGTAATTTTAATTTGCTAGATAAAGGATAAAGAGCAGATGAAATGGAGAATATTCCCATAAAAATTAAGTCTCAGGACAATTGCAATTGACTCTCATGAATCTTTCTTTCCAGGAAAAAAAAAAAAAAAGAACTCCTGGGACACTAATTTCCATGGAAAATTTTAATGATTGTCTTTGCAAAACAGTTCTCATGCTAGGTGTTAAATGTATGCAGCACCAGTTTACCTTGGTAGCTGTAACAGATTAACAGTGTGATTATTTAAACAACAGAAATTTATTGTATTATATTTCAGGTTGCTAAATTTCCAAGATAAAATTATAGGCAGTGATAGTTCTTTGTGAAAGTGTGAAAGGGAATCTGCTCCAAGACCTTGCCTATCTCTCTGTGGATGGCTGAAGATCTTTGGCATTCATAGGCATGAATACGTGACCCACCCCTCGACCTTAGTCTTCACATGGTCTTTTCATTGTTTGCATGTCTTTATGACTACACTTACTCCAGTTTAGGAAACTAGTCATGTTGAGTTAGGATTAATCCTACTCACCTCATTTTAATGCATCAAATTACATCAATAAATTTATTTCCAAATTAATTTCTAAAATACTGGGAGTATGACCTCAACATATGACTTTTGGATTTCATAATGTAGCCTATAATGTTCATAAGAGCATCTCTATGTATTTCCCTTATGCAATACAGTATGTTGGAGATCTTTCATTTTTAATAGCTTCTCATTCCTCTGGTCTTTTAGTCCACCCAGAAAATGCAACATTTTTAGTTCTTTTTCCAGGTTATTCACTGAGTACCTTCAGAAATCAATAAAGTATTTTTTTCAGTAATTGTTTCACACAGTAAGGAGAGAGGGGCAGGATAAGTGTTTAAGGTTTGTTTTCTCTCATACAACTAAGGCAGTTATTCCCTAACATCTTTATTCTACCTTAGATGAACTTTTTAAAAAGGAATTTCTTCTTTTAAAATCTGAGAAACAATGAAATTTTAAGCCAAACTTAAACATCACTGGATTGACAGAATAAAGAAATGTCTTGCGATGAGAGAAAAATGGCTTCCTGATCTTGTAATAAACTATCAAGCACTCAATTTCGTACTTTAAAAGGTGAGTTTTATAGTCTATGAAGTATATTTCAGTTTTAATATGCTTCTAAAATTTCCTTAGGATAAAAATCAAGGCGCAAATGTACATTCAAGTATATCATTGACCCTCTCCCTATAGAAGAAACAAGAAGAGAAACAAAAACAATTAAGTACTGGCCTCTAACACACAAATTGTTATCCTTTATATGGAAACATTTAAATTATCAAAAATACATCATACTTATAGCATTCTTACATTACATTATAATCACCTTCTAAGAAGTTATTATGTCTTACCAGTTTTATTTCTTACAAACCATTAGAGATTGTCTGAACATAACAGCTCTTCAGTAAATGTGTTAATGAAAGTCACACTAGTGATTTAAGATACTTAAAAGCTTAAATTTTGAAAGCAGCCTTATTTGCGTAAAATTTCAGCCCTGCCAGCTGACTACAGAAAAATTCTAATTTTCTCTGGGCCTGAAGAAATGAGGTCATAATAGCAATATCAATGTTAGGACGTATTGAGAAGGTTCTGCTAAATAGTAAGTGCACAGTCAATAAATAGTAGCTTTAATTATTGATATTTATTAATATAAGCAGTAGTAACAATAGTCTTTATTGAACTGACCGCCTGTGCTTGTGAATTATGTAAACTGAAATAGTCTTTCAATCCCATTTGCAATGAGATGCCTGTTACTGTCCTGGTTGTCTCAGCTAGAAAACTCTCAATCTGAACTCACTGATTTAGACAGATAGCCAATAATATTTACTGTCCTGTAGCTTAACTTCTAGGCAAAGTCAGGTATCTGAGCACGATTCTGGCATCAGCTTTTGACTGTGTACCTGTTCTCCCTCACTCCAGCACTAAGCCAGCTGTCCCATTGCCCAGTGACTTGGGCTTTATGGCTTGTTGTCTCTCTGACACTGACCTGCTTGTTGTTCATTCTGTTGGCTTAAGTATCAGTCTGCCTTATCACCAACCCCAGGGCTTACAACGTTTGCTTTATAGTCTGCATTCATAAACTTTCATAGAGTTCAATTAGGATGTGAAGCCTTCCGTTACAACCAGCTTTGCTGTATTGATGTAAACCATGTCATCCATGGTCTGTTTATTCTCTGCATCAGTATAGCAGAAAAAGTGTGGCAGCTCCATAAAGTTAATTCTACAATCTCCAGTTCTGTGTACAAAATTAATATAGCCCAGCCTACTCTCCAGTTCTGTGTATAAATTTAATATAGCCCAGCCTTTTTTATTTTTGAGAAATTTTTCATAGTGTCCAATATTTTCTCTAATGTATATTTTCCTGAAAATATTTTCCTAAAATTTTTTTAATGATCTACTAATAATCTACCCACCTACCTATTAAATTGAGATGTCAGTAGACCTCTGTAGAAACCTCTCACTCACTGTCAATAGAAAGGGTTTAATACTCTGGTCAGTTCATTATATTTTCTATGCTGTTTCCTCTGTCACATGTTTTGTAGCCTCAAACAGACAGTATGGATACTCAAATGCAAAATTTTAAATTTTGAACATTTTAATTTTATCACTTGGAATTCACCAACCAAAAATTTATTTAAGAGTTCAAATTTTTGTCTTTTTCCTTTTCATTCCTTTGTACCTTCTAATCTCTTTTCATCCTTCTTTCCTTAAGATATTTGAATTGATCATGTGTTATATTTTTGCAAACATTATTCATGGAAGCAATATGAATATCATTACTGAGAATCATCTTCTTGGGAAAGACTATGATGCATTTTTATAACTTAAATATACATCACTATTTACCTGTTCAGCTTGATCTGAGGCAGGATAGAACACACGAATATGGCACACATTTGAGTAAAGCTTTACAGTAACTTATTTTTCTTTTTCTAGATTTTAGAGACATTACCTGTGCAGCCCAGGCTGCACTGAAACTTACTCTTAGCCTCCATAGTGCTGAGAACACTTTGTGCTGTCTCACTGAATTTAAAATAACATTTTTATCTGCTGTAAAATATAGTAATTTTACAGCACATGCTATGATTTAGACTTAAAACGTTCTCCAAGAGTCTCACATGTTTAGAAATGGAAGTCTTGGAACATGATTGTTTCTTCAGGGATCTATAGTCATCAAAGGATTGATCCATTTGTGTGTTCATAACTGAGTAGCGGGGCTGGCTAGAGGAGATGTGTCCTGGAGCATGACTTGCAAAGACATATTCTTGTCTGTCATTTCATCCTCTTGTTCTAGTTCTCCGGCTCTCTCTCTACTTCCTGTCAACTTCACTGTGCCATTCTGCAGTGCCATTTCCACTTGGAACAAAGGTGGCCATGGACTAAAATTGTGAACCAAAATACTGTTTTTCTCTTTTAAATTGGGCGTGTCAAGTGTTAGTTGACAAAAAGTCAACTAAATGGACACTTCTTTATTATATAAAAGCTGAAGCCCTTTGCAGAGCAGGTAAATGTAAAATCCTGTCTTTGAAATGTCAACATGCACAAAATTGGTGCATCT